AGCCATTTTTCTCCATGATCCACAATGATCGAAGGAAAACCTCAAACATCAAAGTTGAAGTATGACATCTCAGATTTCCAAAATATCCAAGAACACAATCTAATTCCATTTGAGCAAGGAGATATGGAGTACACAACATGCCTTGATGAAGTTGTTTTGGTAAGGCGGATTTGGCATTACTTGTGAGACACGATTTCTTGAGTCCAAGTGTGATGATCAAACAATACTCATTCAACAAGAATCTGAATGAATCATATAAAACCTGCAAGATAGAGCCACTAAGTCAAGAGGAATCCCTTTGAAATGATGAGACATCATCACTTTAAGCCTTGAATTCAAGAGGCATTTATGTGGAATAGTGCATTGTCAAAAAAACCAAACTCACCAGTCAAGATGCACTCTTAAATAACAATAAACACCTCTGTAGAATTTGGAATTGATCAAAAGAAGATCTAGGCGAGTGGAGGACATAAGGTACCTTGAATGGGAAATAATGATGCATTTCCAAAACCATTGAACATTGATCAAGCTGGAGTTGGATTCGAGCCAAGCATTACAGGAGGTTCCAACTTGTCTAGATCATCATTTCACATCTGTAACACCTCCAACTGAGGATTTAATTTTCTCTTGCAATGTAAGCTTGAACTTTTCAAAACCAATAATTCATGCATCATAAATGTTATTTCAAGTTACCATTGTGTTTCTGGAAGTTCATAGATCATTTACCCTCAATCATTTGTCATTTATATTACGTGTATACGATTTCGTGATAGTTTTTGCAAATTCTAAGGTTTTTGTGTTCATGCTTAATAACTCGTGCCACACTAAAAATAAATGAAATAAAAAAGAGCCATTCAATTCTTTGTTAAAAAACACACAACTTTGATGTTTACATCTTTTAAAATGGCTGCGTATTGAGATATATAACACAGTTTTTTCAAATTTAGAAGTTGGCTCAAGAAAGAAGATGAAGTCTGGCGTGAAATTTGAATTTTACCACGCATTTTTAATATATTATGTGTTGGTTGTGTTTGGATATCACTGAAGCGCGTTGGCTCAATTGGAAAGGGCTTGTTTTGTTGTTATGATGTGTGGGGGCGTGGATTCAAACACCACCCATGTCATTTTTCTTTAATTTTTTTCTTCATATTTTCTTATTTTTCTTTCAAAAATTCAATTAATTGTTTTAATACTCAAAAATAATTATTTTTAACTATTTTTTTGCACACATGTCATTCATACACTCTATTATTTTAATACATGAAAAATTCCAAAAAAAATATTTTTAATAACTTTTTGATTAGATAAAAAAGAAGTGTATTTTAGTGTTTTTGTACCTAAAAAATTGATTTTATTTCAAATATTTCTAAACCTAATCACACTTAAGTGTTCATATGAATAATATGCCTTGATTAAAATATTGTTGAGTATTCATAACACTCATAACTAGATTTACACACTTTTTATACCATGATTAAATCCATTTTATTTTGAAAAGCATCTTTGATTAAAAGATAATTAGAGTCTCACCTTGAATAAATCTTTTCAAAACTTTTTGTATAAAATCACGGGCCTCCACTTGGTATAAGTCCCTTCCCTTTTTAACTCACACCATGATTAGATATTTGTTCATGTGAGTACTTTGTAAAAATCACACATGTTTAAAACATTTCTTTCAATACTTATCCATGTAAACCTTTTGGGCCTCTGTTAGAGTGTAGGACCCATTAATTTTTAAAACTCTTTGGGCCTCTGTTAGAGTGTAAGACCCATTACTTTTTCAAAAACCTTGTGGGCCTCTGTTAGAGTGTAAGACCCATTACATTTTCAAAAACCTTTTGGGCCTCTGTTAGAGTGTAAGATCCATTACATTTTAAAACCTTTTGGGCCTCTGTTAGAGTGTAAGACCCAACACCTTTTCAAAACCTTTTGGGCCTCTGTTAGAGTGTAAGACCCATTACATTTTCAAAACCTTTTGGGCCTCTATTAAAGTGTAAGTCCATAACATCCTCCTCAAAACTTTCTTCAATTTCTCAAAACATTCAATCTTTCAAAAATCAATCTTCAACTTTCATCAAACAAAGCCCTAGTGGCATTCAAAATTTAAACCTTTTGGGCCTCTACCAGAGTGTAAGACCCACCTCTTTTTCAACTCAACCATGCTTAGACACGGACCTCTATTAGAGTATGAGACCCTCCACTTTCAATTCATGTTTATACCTGTCATGTACTTGTTTATATTAAGTTTCTCTTGAAATTTCAAATACCTCATCCATAGTTTAAACTTGGTTCAACATTAGGGTTCCCTCTACTACAACTTAGGTCAAACCCTAGTTCCTCTTTGGATGAAGTCAATTTCATCACAGCCTCCTCTTGAGCTTCATACAAAGATAATCAATTCAAAACTTCCCCAGTTAAGTCAGCCTCTTTTTAGGCTATAATAAACTTTTTAGCTTCACATTTTGGGCTTTGAACAAGATACTCAAATAAATCAACTTCTCCCAGAGATGAGACATTGAGTCATCTCTGCAGGAAGATATCTCTTCTATACATTACAATTCAAAATCAAACATCAAAACTTTTTCTCCATAAAAGTGATGTAAGTGGCACACTTGTTGATTCAAAATCCAAGCTGGAGTCCTTCTCTTATCATGGTCCAAGACTTTTCTTTTATCTAAGTGATGTAAGTGACACACTTGTTGATACTATATCCAAATTAAGGTCCTTCTCTTAGAATACAAAGACTCATAAAGGAAGATGTGGCGTTGCTTATGATTCTTAAACATCCAAGTTCAAAGCTTCTTCCCTTATGTCATTATTCTCAAATGTTTGTGATGAATAGGTGGGATATCTCTCTTAAGAATGACAATTTGTCTTTTCTCTCAAAAACCAACAAAACTTTTAGCTTCATATCTTGGGCTTTGAACAAGATACACAAATATCCTTTTAGCTTCGTCATCTTGGGCTTTGAATAGGATACAAATTCCACCCGTAGTTAGATGGAACTAAGAACACTCTAATTTCTCAATTTCCTTTTGAGGATACATAGGCATAAGATTGCGAGGTCTTAGCGAACACATCTTTAAATAAAACCCCTTAGGCCCCCATACTTTTCATAAAACAAAAACTCCTAAAAACATCTCATATTCTTGTTCTCACCCATAAGTTAAAACTTTCCCAAATCGACAGTAAACAACTTAAATAGATAAAATAACTAATAATAAAAATTGGACAAAAAAGTTCCTATATAGTACTATAGCTACTCAGGGTGTTAATAGCTTCCATTGGTATAACCAACCCCCGATTCTAGATCTCTTTGCATTTGTAGGGATAACACTTGCACACAAAGTTAGTTTAGATTTCTTTCCCTTCCTTTTAAGCATCATAGAATAAATATTAGAAATTCGAAAGTGGCATCAAACACGGTTCACGAGAATCTCGCTATCTCAGGATTGGGTGGGGTCATAGAAATCGGTCCACACTATGCAAATGGTAAGAGCCTGCATTTGATGGCTCCTCGGGTCCGCGCCAGCCGGAGTGGGGATGGGCTGGAACACTGCCGGGCTTCTTGCCCGAGGGACCTCGTAGTGCGGTGTGCCCTCAGGGGAAGGGGAGGCAGTTTGGCCGTCCCTGACGTCGGTCTCACGGAGTAGAGAAGTCCCTATGTGACCGTCGTCGTTGGTGGTGGGGACGACGAAGGAGTTGTGAACAGCGTCATCATGGCGTGGGCTAGTCATGATTCTGAAGTGTTGAGAGGTGAAACTTTGGTCCTCTGCTCGGAGGAACGGGGAAGTTTAGATTCCCGCAGACGGCGCCACTGATCAGACCTAATCAGAAGGGAATCACTGGACCGCCACACGTCTTTGAGCTACTGCCTGTTCACCGGTGGTAAGGAGGAGGATGAAGCGTACCTGCAAGACACTCCGATGCCAAAATGAGAAAGGATCAGAGTGAAGCAAATACAAAGAGAAGGTGTAGAGAATAAAATTGAATATCTGACCCTCTTGTGAAAGAGGGTATTTATAGAGAGACTCCAGCGCAGGGCCAACAGTCATTTGAGTTAGGCTGGATGGTCAGGCCCAACCCAAGTGACTGTTAGGGCTTACGTGGCGTAGTGAAGACGGGGACGTGGTCTTCGCCTTAGGTCAACGGTCCCGTGATCTCCGGAAGGTGGGCTGACCTGCTCTTTCGGAGGTGGGTAGTTGTCTGATGACGTGTCCCCGCAGAGGAGAGCACGCGGAGAACATGTGGAAGACACGTTATTCTACCCGACTATGGAAGGTTCTGCCCGCATAGGGTAGCGCCTGCTCGACGGAGAATCCTTGTGTTCGACGTACGTGATATGGGTCTGCTTGGGCTTTCACAAGTAGCATTGGGTTGGGTCTACCCGGTCAAGCCGGAGCCCAATCCAGAACAACTATTCTTATGACTCCTTTTAGTATTAAGTATCAATTTATAATTTAAAAGCTACATTGCTAATCACAAAATAAAAATACGATTATGAAGAATACTTAAAAAAAAACACTACGAATAAATAATGACCAACACCAGTATTAATGTAAGTACATCTGTTCTAGAAGGCTAGAAGCTATGAAAGCACTAGTCACACGATTGAATCAAGTTGTAACCTTAAAAACAGATAAATGTAAGAGTAAGGTTTACAGAAATTTAATTATATATCTGCACTTGGTGAAAGGAGATTACATTAGCTTAAATTGGTCCATGTTGATAGCTGATGAAAGTGATGAAAGTAGTTGCTGAATCAAAAACTTTCCTTAATCATTCAAAGGAAGAAAATATAGATATTTCATCTAAATAGTTCTTTCACGTGTTAGAAAGCCATTTGAAGTGATATACCAATTATATATCCATTTATTAATAAAAAATGACGATTATATATCCAATGCATATGCCACTAAACCTCTTAAAAATAATTAACGGTAAAAAGCAGCAGACAAATCGATTCATGAATCCAAGTAAATCTATGACTTTCTGGACCTCTAATCTTTTGATACTCTGATAATTATACCAACGGGAGTCTGGTCACTTCTGAGATGACCGGAACCAATCAAATCGCGTAGATGAAACCTCATATCGAGTGGGGACATTCGAAGACGCTTCTTTTCCAAAACGGCCAACATCATCTCTTTATATTGACGTCGGCTGAGAAGGGAAATAATTTCCTTCCTTCCCTGAACAACAAAGTTAACACAAATTCAATATAATAAATATATCACCTAAAGATCAAAATATACAAACTATAAAATTTACAGGACAAAACAAAACTGGGCCTCTCTCATTCTGACTAAGTACAAATCTGAAAGTCTATGACTGCTCAAATCATACCCCGACTTCAAATATTATCTGCAATAGACTTTAAAGATGGACTCTTTGCCCACATGTGTAGTGGTGATTAGCATTTCAAGCTCAACCTAACAGTGATTAGAATTAGGATGTAATCTATATGATGAGTCCTTCAGTTGATAACTCGGCTAATATTTACTGCCTTGTGAGCTTGAAATTTGTGTGACTTTAATGCTTGTTTCAGCTTAATTTTGGAAAAATAGTCGCTCTTTGTTTTCAAAAGCTCTCTGAAGAGATACCGGCAGAAAGAATAATTGTTCTTCAAAAATAAATTGATCCAAGCAAGTGAGACTGGCATTCAATTTTGAGATATATCTGAGGTTTGGTTACACCCCTCGCTACTAATTTTCTCCTTTCCAACACAATGCCCCTCCAAAAGAAATAGCAACATGTGTTCAAGTACTGAATAAACAATTGAAGTACGTGTGCTAAAACCAAACATATTACACGAATGAATAGTATGAGGGTTATACCATGCACCACCTACAAGTGATGCATAAAAATTTGACACACGCGAGGGGCAAAAAATGCTTCCTCCTACCACACTCAACTTCACCAGCGCACCACCCCCTCTGGTCTCCCCCATCTCTTTTCTACCACCACCCATCTCCCAGGCCACCCTCTCCCTTTGCCTGAAACGCTGCAAACTCTCCCTACTGCCACAACCTCTTTCAATCTCTCAAAAGGATTTGAGCAGGATTGCTGAACTTAACCAGGGAAAAAAGTTTCAACAAGACTGCAATTTAACCAAGAACTGGCCAATTGCTTAAGCCATCTCTGGAGCCACTTTCTATGGTAAAAAAGCCTATGATTTAACCACTAAAAGCAGTACATATGACTTTGATTCAGCATGACTCGAGTAAAAATCACATTTTTTTATATTCCATAAAAGATGTCACAAAACTTGTTTCAAAATGTGATTTGAAATCAAACTTGTGGTCCAAAAGATTAAAAAAAAACAGGACCTAGTTGCATTTTCTAATTCTGCATTAAAGCAAAATTAAGAACCACGATAGCTAGAAGACACAATCAGATTTTTTGAGAAGGCTCTTCTTATACCCGATGTTGACACACTCGTCCCTCACTGATCCTAGGCCTCGAATGTCGTGGGTCAACCTATCTTTAATGGAAGCATCAACTGAAACAAACCAGAAATATGTGAGATTAATGGTGGCGGAATTCCAACATTGAATCTAGTGGTGCCACACACCAAAGGTTGGAGTTCAAATGGGCGTCGTGGGGAGTGACGCTCTTGTATTCAATCAAGGAACTTCAAATATAGTTGTCCATGTCGCTTCAGAGGGTGCGGTTTGGAACCAAAAACATAAAATGATAAGAGAGGATTTAACAAAGGGGGCAGAGGCTGGAAGAGAGAGGAGGGAGGGATGGAGGTTTGTGGGAGTGGGAGTGGGTTGGAGACTTGCACTCTCTCTCTTATATTATCAATTTACTCTATATTAGAAGGTTAGAAAATATCTTATAATATATAAATAATATCATTTGATATAATTATGTTAGTGTATTTTATCTCCTAAAACCGATTTCTATTCTTAGAGTATTTTAGATTATCTCCTAAGATTAGTTACCATATTAACTGGTTATTATTATGATTTATTTCTTACTTTCCTTAATTATTTAGGATAAGAAGTCTTGTATCGTTATAAATATGAGTTATAGTTTAATCTTTTGTATCAAGTTATAAGATGACCATGAATAATATAGATTGAACTATATAGCAAGCGTCCAGACATAAAGACATCGTAGACGTCAAACATTCATACCTGAACAAGACCCTTAAGAAGTGAGCCAATATTTGGAATTGCTATCCAATACATGTTTGGATCAATAAGTTGTCTGGTCTGAAAAGTATTCACCAAAATTATTATGGACTCAACGGAAAGAACATATGTTCATACACATTGTGGATGAAACTAAAAAGAAAGAGGGCATAATCAATATAAAACAAAACTTCAGAAGAATCACATCTGCGTTAAAGTAATCGGGAAATTTGTGTTGATAAAGAATCCAAGACGTTGTAAATTAAAGAGGCATATAATCAACATACGCAGGATACTATAATATGCTTAATCAAAGGAAAAGTTTGTATCGTCTTGTAGGACTTGAAGGATTTCCAAGATTCTATAATATGTTTAATCAAAGAGAATCCAACTAGCATATTATAGAAGACGATACTATAATATGCTTAATCAACATATGCAGGATACTACAATATACTTCACGATTAAGCATATAAAGCACGATACTATAATATGCAGGATACTATAATATGCTTAATCAACATTTGCAGGATACTATAATATGCTTAATCAAAGGGAATCCAAGACGTTCAATGTTAATGATGAAAAACCCAAAAATAAAGCACTTGAAGGATTTCCAATGATGTCTAAATAAATTAATGATTTCATGTAGAAAAGGGCCCACAAATGTTGGTATCGTAAAGTGATTGTAAACCAAGTTGGCAAAAATATATATACGAAGTTTACTTAACAATTTACAGGAAGTGAAGTTGAAAAGGCATGAATTTATGATCTAAAAACTCCAAGCAAAGTTGTGACAGTTTCAAAAAAGTGTTTGAATACAACCAAAATGAGTATTTGCAATCCATTTTACTTACAAGGACGCCTGCATTAATTAGAAGGGAGATGTGACTGTCCTTCACCTTTCCCCCAAGTGACAAAAGTGAGCACTGCATCAACCATCAGCATCAAAACTCATTTAGTAAATATCCTGTGAAACATATGTTTGACCTGCCTACGTGATTTAAAATCAAAGAATTTAACATGACAAACTGGAAAAAATGTCTTGATATAAGTATTTAATATGTATCAATATATATGTAGACATGCAATATTTTCTTATTGCGGAAATGCACTCTCCCAAAGTCAGACATTTGCAAGATTACAAAAATTTCTGATGAGTCGACAGTGTAATGAGCAGATGCAGAAATGATTAAATAGTATATGCTTAGTTTGCATATCTTACTCACAAGCTCTTGATGTTCAATGCCAGTTTCCAGCTTTGAATCTAGGACATGAGTTTTGAACCACTCAAAAACTTCAAATTCTGCTCCTGTCTTCCCTTCCATTCTTTTAAAAACACGATCTATCTATGCATAAACAGTTAGAATATAAACATGATGGTTCATCAATAAATATAGAGTTAGTATATACTATTAAACCAACCTGTTTTAGGTAATCATCCAAAAACATTACAGCATGATCATCTTGTCCAGTATTTAATTTAAAAAGGCGAAGCACTTTATCCCTCCGAAAAGACTGCCAAAAATGAATAAACATATCTTAATACAAAATTACCACATTAACTAATCAATCAAAATTTAAGAGCTTAAATAAGCACAAAAAAACACTAATGCGTAGTAGTTGCAAATGACAAACATTAAAATTAAAAAATTCCCTAAACAGACCTCTAATTCTCTATCCACTTGTGTTCTGTCCTTCACACTGCTATACAATTGAGACTTTAATATAAACGGTTCAACTGAAACCTAGAAATAAGCATCAATAATCAAAATTAAATTATGATTAACTAATTCATAAAAATACACAGGGAGAGTAAGAAATGAGATAATTAATTGTTACATTGAGAATTTGGGGAAATTGAGCTCGCATGATTCGAAGCGCAATAAGCGTATCAGAGAATGTAAGATCGTTCTCTGCGAAATCAATGCAATAGAGATCAATATAAGCTATGAATAAAGAGAAATATATGTGTATAATAGAAGATGATTGTGTACCGAGTGACGATGATGAGGTGTTTCCGGCATCGGAACTCTCAGTTCGCCGGCGTTTGGTTCCTTTGGATGAAGATTCTGGAACGTTCTCCATGCGTCGTGCTTGCGGCTTTGAACTTCCTAACTATAGAGATAGATAGATAAACAGATTTTGAATAAATTGAATTATCAATAGTATCCAATTCAATTCAATTAACACCGATTATTTTTCAACACCTCGGTTGTGAAATTGAAGTGAATTGTTTTCATTTCTACTTTTTCTATGTTTTAAAATAATTGTATTTATTATTATTTTTCTACTAATAAATTTTTATTTATTAATTTTTATTTTATTTTTTATTTTATTAATTATAATTAATAAAAATATTTTAGTAAATATTCATTCCTTTTTAAAATAAGTGTTTAATTTAAAAATACTTTATTTCAAAATAAGTGTTTAATTTAAAAAATATTTTATTTCAAAATACTTGTCACTTTATGTAATTTTAATTTTTATCTTTCAATTATACTATTTAATTAATATTTTGAATTTATTGTTTACTAATTAGAATACACTAATAGTAATAGCGCTAGTTTGATAAAATCAATATTCTCTCTTTTGTTTGTTATATTTTTTTAATCTATGTAATAGTGTCAAGATTTATTTTAGGATAAATTTTTATCATTAAAATTAACATATTTAATATTTTTTTAAGAATCTTGTATTGTTTAAATAAAACAACTTTTATGAAAGGGATGAAATAACTAACTTATGTCACTTGCCTTGTTTGTTTACATGGAAAATAAGAAGAGAGAAACACAAATATTTTTGAAATAACAAAAATAATGAGAATGTTTTGAATTTTGATTGAAATTATTATGCAAATTTACTTCCACCTCCCTTAAATATGTTAAAATGTCATACACCACTTTCTATTTTTTGAATAAACTACTCACACTCTTTGTTTGTTTGTGTGATATTTGAACCATTGCTACTTTATTTCTACATAGTTTAGAAAAATAGAATTGATTCTTCACTTGTTGCATTCTCTTTCCTTTTAAAAATTCTATAAATCAAATTTCAATATTGTTCCCCTTACACACTTATATAAGTCAGGACACACAACAAAATCATTTTTGTCTTAATAATAGATGAAAGATTTTGAAATAAAGTGTTTCATTTTTAATTGTGTTTTAGATTAGAATTTTTAAAATTTTCGTTTGAATAATATTTTTATGAAGCACTCTTTCACTAAGAATTTTTTGAAAGACTTAGATCTTCACCAAATGAATTTCATAAATACGAGTCTTATTCATTGCATAAAGAAGTTGGTTGTTAATCAAATTGGGACTACATGTTAACATAAAAGAAAGTTGATGTTTTATCTTAGCAGAAATGTCTTGAATCAAAAGAAGAAAATGAGGAAAAATTACTAAGAGCCCCCTAAGAAAATCAAAGAACTAGAAATAGAAAGAAAGCATTACAATATGGAATAACGTGAAAAGTGGAATTTTTTTTAAAGTAGCAATGTTATAATTTTTATTTACCAAACAAAATAATGTTTCAATTAATTTACGAAAATGGCAAGGTTTTGAAAGGTGGAAGCAGTCATTCGCCAGATGAATTGGCGAATTAGGCAAATCCCATTTCAACAGATTCGCCAGATGAATTGGCGAATTAGCCAAACCATAACAAACTCGCCACATGAATTGGCGAATTAGCCAAACCATAACAAACTCGCCACATCATTTGGCGAATTAGTATAACTTTATTTTTTGTTTTTTTTTTCTTTTTATATTATGATTTCATATTTTTAAAGTTTAAAAATTTATTTGTTTTTAATTATTATTATTACTAATTTAAGTTTAATATATTAATTTATAATATAATTAATTTATAATATAAGTTTAATTTTAATTTAAGTTTTATTTTTAAAGTTTAATTTTAATTTTAACTTTAATATAAGTTATAATTTTAATTTAAGTTTTAAAATATAAAATATTTTGATTATTATTTTGAATATTATTTATATTATTAATAAACTTATTTTTAAATTATAAATTAATTTTTGAATTTATAAATTATAAATATTATTTTTAAACTTATTTATATTTTTATTATTTTGATTATTATTTTGAATTTATAAATGTATTATTTGTATTAATTTTTAAAAATTTGCCAAGCCTGGTTTTTAAACTTCCCATATATATTTATAGGGTGGCTTTTATCAATGAATGTATAGTCACCCCAGTGGTAATCACTTTGTCACCAAATGCGCATTTCACCTTGCTAGCCTAGGTTCAATCTTTTTGTTTATTTTTTTTTTTTTGTTTTTTTTCTTGTTTTTTTGTTTGTTTTTTTTTTTCATTTTATTTTCACTTGGCTATAAATACGAGCTCAAACACATGTTTGTTGAGTGGAGTCTATAATGTCTGCATTTTTAAATCAACGTTCTTCTTCTTCGTCATCAGCATCGGAGGAACCTTTTCCAACGTTTGATATAATGAAAAGAAATGCCCTTGTGGTGTTTTCAGCAACAAAGCCTCCGATGAAGGTGCTCCTCTGGAATACGCAGACGTTGGAGCACTTGCACAGGGAACTGAACCGCTGGCTAGAAGGGGATATTGCTCCAGGAGAAAAGATTAGGAAAATTGAGAGGTTGGTGGAGAAGACCGATAGAAACGGAGTTACTCGTGAATGGAGAAAAGTGGAAAATGATGCCGGCGTCCTCGTGATGATGTTGACGCCAAAGGAGATAAAGTTGATGGTCGTGATATCGTAGACGCTCTGTTCCAGTGTTTTGTTTTATGTCTTTACTTTGTTGTTATGTTTGTTTAATTTATGAATGTTTACTTTGTTGTTATGTTTGTTTAATTTATGAATGTTAATCAAATGAAAGTTTCTATTGAATTAAATGGACACGTTTACAAATGAAACTATGATCTGTTGCTTGGTCCTACGTTTGGACATGTCGTACGATTGTGTCCTGGTTGCCGACACGAACTACACAATCTCACTAGCTTATCTGAGGTATCCATCTCTGTTCGTATGCGCGTGCTGTTAGGCCGACCCTTCTTCTTTCTGTGCATCAAGTCATTATGCCAAACAATTTCGCCTTCGTATTCCGGCCAATAGTCTTCCTTTGCCACCACATGAAAACTGCATGAGTAGACATTGCATAGACTAATGACTTGGTGAACTGTAGAAAGAAGGTTGGTTGGGTCCTGGCGCGCCTTTGAACAAGCTGCTATGACATGAGAGCAAGGCATACGGAATGCTTGAAACTTTCCACAGTCACACCAGCTCTTATCTAATTCAACACGATAACATCCTCTGGGCCTTCCTTCATTGTGATCTATAGCCTCGACAACACTGAACCAACCAGCTGTACGGTCAAATATTGTGACCACGTGGGTGTTGGCTTTCGCAGCTTCGTCTTTCATGAATTGCATTGCAGTATCGCTGTACAGCTGACCCGATTGTAATACCGAACCCCACTTTGCACGTCTGCTATCAAAAAGTGATCCCATCCTAAAATAGGTTGCCTTTACCAAAGCAGTAATTGGGAGGTTTCGAATTCCCTTGAAAACAGAATTCATTGACTCGACGAGGTTGGTTGTCATGTGGCCCCATCGCACCCCATGGTCGTATGCCCGCGTCCATTTCTCCCTATCAATGCCATCAATCCATCTTAATGCATCCGCGTTGTTCAGTCTGATCTCGTCACGGTAGTATCTGAATGTTGGTTCAGTTAGTGCATACCCCGCGTTCACAACCTTCTTCCGCAGCGTCCTGTCTTTGATCTCCCTCATGAAATTTTGGGCAATATGCCTTATGCAATAGACGTGGGTCGATGGAGGATCCTGCCAACCGTTGTCATGGTTGTTGTAAGCACTCTCGATGGATGGGTGTCGATCGGAGATCAAACATAAGTTAGGTTGGGGAGACACGTAAGAGCGTAGGTTTTTTAAGAAAAAACTCCAACCCCCAGCAGTCTCCCCTTCAACTATGGCGAAGGCTATCGGGAAAATGTTGTTGTTCCCGTCTTGTGCAACAGCCATCAGAAGTGTGCCCTTATATTTCCCGTAAAGCCAGGTTCCGTCAATTTGAATTATTGGTTTACAAAATGCAAACCCTTTGATGCATGGTTCGAACGCCCAAAAGACTCTGTGGAAAATTCCATTTCCAGCAACATAACTCCCGTCTGGTGTACAAGCAGGCATCGTCTCCAATATCGCAACTGTTCCTGGAGAGTAGTGTTTAAGGGCTACTAGAAATTTAGGAAGTTCCTTGTATGACTCCTCCCAATTTCCAAACACCATTTCAACAGCTTTATTCCTGGCTATCCAGGCTTTTCGGTACGAAGGAGTGTAGTTGTACCGTTGTACCATATGTGCAATTATGGTACTCACCTTCAAAGATGGGTTATCGCTGACGACTGATAGAATCTCATCACAAATCAATTTAGAGTTGAGTTTGCGATGGTCTTGCATAGGATTCGAGATTATACAGCTGTGGGACGGACCCATTGACCCTATCTTCCAGGAATCGCTTCTCTTCCTGAAAGATGCTGTTAATTTGAACGAGCACTCCTCGTTACGGCAATAGATCATATACCGCGTTGGATTTGAGTGATCAACTCTGTAATCGGCTGACAATTCCATGTGAAACTGTTTGATAGCCCGGACACAATCTTGTTTTGTACGAAACTCGTCACCCTCTTTAAGTTGGCCATGTGTTGTGTAGTTGGGGTTGAAGAAAACATCCGTTGGGGGTTCATCATCACCTAAGGTGATATCAGTCATGTGTTTTGGTGGACAATAGACATTCTCAGGTTGAACTTCATCCTCCGGATTGTTCACCATCTCGTCAACTATGACTTCAGTTGCTTCTTCCTCTTCGTCAACGACATTGACTTCGGGGTGTTCATCTTCAGAATCGCAAAAAACTTGTGACGAATCAAGTTGCTGAGATAGTTGTTGTTGTTGTAACGTAACGTAAACCATGGTTTCTGAGAACCCTGAATACTCGTGAGTGCGGAACATGTTACGCACGTCTTCATCATCTCGCACCTTTAAAGGAAAAATTTTGCATGAATCAAGTCCGGCAAAGAA